TCTCTTTTAAATTTCCACTGTTAATATAATTATTATTTCTCTTTATTATTGCAACTCGAAATTATCGCTGATATAATTAAACAATATCAATGATAATTTGCTATCATTACTCATTAACAATAAATATTTTAATACTAATTACAATAAATTATTAATGAAAAAAGAAATTTTGAGGCGTAGCATGGATCGAACGCATGCTAAAAATCGTAAAGCGAATTCTGAAGAAAAACTTATATCAAGTTTGCCTATGGAATTTCATGTTATTTAAAGCATCTTAAAAAAATAAATTACAATCACAGGCCAGGTTATGCTAAATAATTGAAATATTAAGTATTAATTAATCATCTATTCCTTCTTTTCCTTTTTTTGACACAGTATAAAATGACAGAATAAACTTAATTTTATTAAGGACAAAATTTAAAAAATGTCATTTTCAGACTATAATCTATTAAAGTCACTTCTCAAGCAAATCCTGAAAAAAGAAAATCACAGCTTAGCTGGGAACTTCACGGTAAACATGTTTCAAAATTCAATCGATTGTGAGTTATAAATTGTGAATGCTCATTTGATCTCATTTTTTCATCTTACTATCAACCATTATTCCTCTATCATTTGATCATGTCAGCCAGATGTTTACAATTTAAATTAGTATGTTGCAATAATCATTGACCATATCTGTTAATTATAATTATAATTGCTAATTAGTATTATTAATATAGCACTGTTATAAATAAAACACTGTCATTTGTTTTAATTTAAACCATGATTAACGATGAATATATATTCATTTCTAAATAAATAAATGTTTCGCCATAAAGAAATATAGCAAATATCAATTCAAAAAAAAAAAAAAAAATCAGTACATTTATGAATTTGTGTTGACAATTTGTTTTTGACCTGTTTAATGAAATCAAAAGCATCGGATGAAAAATTTGTAATTGACAAAAGTGAAAAAAGTGATGTAAATACTGGATGGGAATTAAAACTATTATGGATGAGGTATCATCACATAATAATAATATTTATCAAAAGTATTTACATGCTAGTTGTTTGTCTTTTTTTCTTTTTAATGAAATTAAATTAAATATTATCAGCAAATTAATAAAAGTTATGAAAAGCATTCAAATGTATGACAAAACTTTATTAAAACACTTTTTCCTTTTCAGGTGTTAAAAAATGCTGGTATTTAACAGAAATTTGATGGGTAAGTCACTTAAAATTTTAAATGACATCATTTTCATCCGATCAGTGGTTCTGGTGAAGACCTACTTACTTAGGAAAAGTAAGTAAATTGAAGTAAATAATGGAATGGAAGTTTTTTTTTGATTGAGGTAGATCTCAGTTCCATTCTTTTTACTGGTGTGATTCGGCCAGCTGGAATTTATTTCCAGTGACAAAACAGCAAAACTTCTTGTACGAATTATAAATTCACTGGCTGAAGCAGTCCGATATTATTGAGCACGAATTCAAAAGTATTTGATATTATAATGTCTTCTTATACTATGCAGCAACAGCTGACTCAAATAGGTTTGCAAAACTTTGAAATTCCTGCGATATCTCTATCATAATTTTTGATTTTCTTTTAGATTTGTTAGTAAAAGTAATGCTTTATTGGTTCGAGGGATTGAAGGTTAAATTTGAGATGTCAAGCAATGCAAATCATTTGTTATTTTACCATGTAGTACTTTATTATGTAAAAAAATTATGATAGAGATATCGAACAGATATAAGTTTTATGTAAATCTTTAGTGAGATTTGATCCCATATTTTCAGGTACATTGTGCACAGCCGTATCTTCAGTACCCATCAACTGCCGCTTGTTCTGATATGAAAGTAAACATTCTCTTAATGTTTTTTGTGAGTGGGACAGGTTTACAAATGAAAAAATTTTACAGTTAGCATAGTGGTCCACCATGTTCTCGTTTTAGTGAGATGAGGAAAGATCGTAGAGAGAAATAGAATGAAAAAAGAGGAAAAAAATTTAGAAATTCGTAGCACAGTTAAGTTGAACAAGTCATACAACTAAAATACGTCACACAACTAAAATATTATCTACAGGAGAAGCGCCTACCTGAATTGGAATTTGGAATCATCAGAGTTCTAAGGTATCATAGAAGTCTATATTTGTTTTCTACTTATAATAGTAAATTTCAGATGTAACTTTCTTTTTTTAATAAAATTTGTTTTTAGGGAATTATGTAAAGACCGCCGCGAGCAATTAGACGAATTTTTGGCAAGTGACAAGCAATTAAAAGCTGAAATAAAGTTTGATCTCGAAAAACTTGAGGCATATATTTTTTTTTCTTTCGGAATGATCGAAGATTGATGAGTAATTTAAAAAAGTAAGCCAAAAAAATTTGTGAGGCATAATGTATATTTTCATACCTTTTTTTAATTTTTGTTGCTAAAGTAAAGCCTAATTAACGATTAAGTTTGCAGTGAAACCCAAGCTTTGATAAAATTGTATCATATGTCATGTTTAAGGAAAAAGAAAAAAGGATAAAAATTTTGAACAACAATGATATAATGGCTAAAGTACCTTTTTTGCCAAATAGAAAGGTTTCATTTGCTGCTGATCGCGTAGTACCTTACCAAGTCAAAATTCTGGAATTCGAAAGCGAGAATGTAATGTGGAAACGATTACCCATATCGAAATGCAAGGAAGTGAACAAAATAATAGTGGTAGTTTTAATTGTCATTTAATTAGTTTTTCATCAGTTTTTGCATATTATACTAAACTTCTGGTAGTATATAATTTTTTCATGTCTATTACATTTTAATTACACATTGATCGAATTGTATTCATTTAACAATTGAGAAAAAAAGTGTCATTTCAAGCAGCCACATTTAGGTGACGCCCAATAGTTGATTCCATTGATAAAAGAGACCGAAAATTGACGAAAGGACAAGTGAAAAATAATGATAGCGAGGAGGAGAATGCCGAGAGTGTTCTAAGTTTCATTTCGCTTATAATTAATTTTAGTGGTAAGTAAATTACGCATAAGAGAATTTGGGTATGAGTTATTAATTTGGCCTATTGGCTTATTTAAAGCTTTCGGAACACATTTCTTACGTCAAACTTTTTGGGAGTTCAAAGAATTCCATAATGTGCATTTATATCCTGATTTTTTAAACTTCTATAACCATAATTTTTTCCCATATTTTACGACATAATTTTTCTGCATATTTCGATTCTTTTTTAGCAACCTTCAACAAGTGTAAAGGAATATTTTATCCCAACTGAAATTACTATGAAGATCAAGAAACGAAGTCAAAAAATAAAATTTGAACAGGCAGATGAAGAAAGCGAGTTACCCGTACGAGCGATTTCAACGCCAGAACATAACGTCGGCGAGGTTTTTTTTTTTTTTTTTTTTTTTTTTTTGATTTTATTTTATTTTTTTTGATGAACTTATTGACGTATACTAATACATCTATGATTGTCATTAATCATATAGCCGCGCTACATTTCAGCTAACTTTTGGTCTGGGCGATGATATGTCAGCAATTGAAAGTACACCAACAAGAAAAAGTTAGCTTACAATTATCCAGATCAGATTTTGTGTTTTGCATATTTCTTTCTTTCTAAAAATAATAGAAATATATGTATTTCAAGGGTCAGAACGACAACTTCGACAACCCTATGTGCCACCAATTGAAGAAGCGTTATCAGCAAAATGAATGATTTCTTTTCTAAATTATGTAATGAAGACCAATAACCCTTCAACAGTAATAAGTTTAGACCATTTGACCATTCGCGTATCACTACCATATATTTCATGCTGATCTCAGGTTGATGTTTTCTGTTGTCTCTTAGTGCAGTTTTCATAAAGCAGTGTTTGGCTCATTTCTTTTCCTGTCGAAGTTGTCTAGCATAATCTTTATAAAGAGAAATCATGTTCAGTTTGAAGTGTGGTATCTATTAAGTGTTATCTGAATGTGTGTACGCATCTGAGATATACACTTAGACCGTACTGGTAGTTCCAATTTAGAGTTGCGCTGAATCGTCATCGATATCGTTATCATCTGCGATGTATTTTGCTCATAATTAAACTACTAGAATTAGCAAAGTGCAGTGTGTGCCGTTAGAAATGTGAGGGAAAGTCATATATCATTTCTGCCTTCTTTTTCGATTGCTTAAAACATTAACACTCAATTATGCACTCAGTAATTATAGAGTATTAACAAATGCTAATATTACTATTATTACCTATTACGTAATCATTCAGTTTCTTTTGACATATGGGAAGGTTGTACTTAACATAAGGATACGTTATTGGATTTGTAAATATAAGTAATATAAAAATGCCTAAATCAGATAAACTACTATTGATTTTTAAAACATTTTTTTTAATCGACTTTGACAGATATCTCAGTTACATAGACATTTTTTTTTGAATGGTTTTTTTTTTCTTTCTTTTTTGTAGTTTGTTTGCTGTTTTTGTTTAATTAGTGCTAATTTGAGATCTGGAGCTTTATATGAGGTTTATAAAATATTGAATATATTTCACTATATCAGACTATATCTCATCTAGAATTATATTGTTATTTGAATTTGATTCAGTTAAAATTTCTTTCTAAGGATTAAAAGGTTTTTCCAAAAATTTTGGTCGATTTTTTAAATTCTTTGGTTTCTCCTTGTGCTAGTTTTATTTCGACGCTGATAATCTCGTTATAAAAACAGAGCAACAAAATTCACAACAAATGAGCAAGAAATGCACTCCATTCACTGGAATATTACGACAAAAAATCAAAAACAGAATGAAACAAGCAAAGAAGTTAAACAAGCAAAGAAGTTTTGCTTATACGACATCGCAGAAATCCGAGCACAAGAAATAAATGTTGGAAGGCTACAACAAAAAATCGATGCCTGCCACTAACAAGATCATCTCATTTCAATGTTTGCCATCAGAAAAAATATAGCCAAAAAAACTGAACATTCATCAATTAATTTAACCTTCAGGAAAAAATTGATTAGCTGCAAAAGATTCAATTTATCTCTAGTAAATTACTAACTCGGCTACTCCAGCATTTGGCAGTTCTTTCAGCATTTGCACATGTTTGTTGTGTATCTTGTTGAAAATTTCTTTTGCCTGATTTTGTTTTAAGATCTAAATAATTACTAAATAATTCCTAAATCTAAATAATTCTTAAATTTTAGGATTCAAATAATAGATTAGTCACCTTATATTTTCTAACTTGAGAAAAAAAAAATGAAGGCCATGAAATAGCCTATAAAATTTATCGGGTCTTACTGCACAAAAATATAACGAATATGAAAGTATTAAAAAACCACTTCTTGCTCACAGTCATCCAACTTGTCAGACCCAATTTTCTTAAGATTCGTCAGTCTTCCTATGTGGTATTTGACTCTACCACGAACACGATGTAGAAACTGTTGCCAAGGCAGACATGGAACCTGCAAAACTAAACATTCATGCTCGATCTCAAACCGCATGCTCGATAATCTCAAGAAAAATCAAATATTTTTGAGAGAAAAAAAAAATCAAAAATCAAAATAAAAATCAAAACCAGTTTCTGATTTTGGCGATTTACCTTACATGACTCACTTGTATTTGTTTCTGAAAAAAAACTTTAGTTGGAAGCTAAAGAACATAACAACCAGCAGAAGGAATTGAATATATTTTGGTATTGGGCATCATATATGGTAGGATTATTCTAATTTATATGTACTTTACAACCAGTTAATACAAAATAAGAAAATTTTAATAAATAGCATTAAGAAAAGATCAAAGAACACACTGTGCAAAAATAAGTTATCTTAAATTACATTGAAAAGACAGGCACACTTCACTTCAAACTTACATCTTCTCTTTACTCCTAAAAAAAAAAACCTACTGGTATTGTTTTTGGCAGAAAATCGATTGTCAAATATCGAATACAAAAATTCTATAGAAGATGAATCAAGACAGAAGACGTCAGGAGGTTCGCCATATTCTGTAACACTACTATGGAAGAAAAATCAGAAAACGGTATAGCATTTACGCATCAAAACTTAATCTTAATAGAAGCTGGTTAAATATAATTCTAGTGCAATTCCAGTAATTAAAAAATAAGTAAAATTATCCAATGAGTTTATTTAAAGTAATAGAATATGGATTATCCCAGAGTTGTTAAAAGTAGACTAAAATTCATTATTTTGTAACAAATTTCAAGCAAAAGATATAGTGACCTTTCTTTTTTGATGAATAAGGCTGAGTTTTAATAGCAATTTCATGATCTGTACACAAAATGGATCCCGTAGTCTGAAATAAACAGTCAAACTTACAACCGTTGAAATACATAAAGAATGATTTGTGATCTGCTTATAATATGTTACGGACGGACTATAATTAAATTAGTAAAATGACTGATGTGTGTAAAGTAATTTAAAAATACAGCTTTACTCTGCTTTAGAATGAGAAATAAATGGTGAATAAAATCTTACCACTTTCATTTCATTTATGAAATATGACTGCTGGTTAATACGCGATGAATGATTCAGAATATCTGAAATAGAGAAATGATGTATGTCCATATTTTATGAAGTATATACTTAATTTTAATAAGAAAAAACGAATTGCTCGTAACGACGATCACATAATATTACAAGTACAGACGCATGCTTGGCATATTTAATAAATAATTGAAAAGCATCAAAAATAAAGATTGCTCACCACAAAAGTAGTCATTCATTCTACTCGAAATTAGTAATTGAGAATTTTGGATTAATTCTGCTTGAAAGAAAAGTCATTGCAAATACAAATTCATTAATGTCAGTGTTTCGGTGATTCCCAATGATCAAATTGTTGAATGTTAAATTATCAAATGTAAAGTAAAGTATTAAAGTTAAAGTAAGTAATATTTTCCAAGGTGAATTACCGCACTTCTCTATCCGATAGTACCAAATTTCAGGGTGACCGCTATATCCGAACGAGAGAAAAGAAATGAAATGATATCGATTCATCATGATAACCGTTAATATACTACTAAAAATCCACTACTTCTCAACACTCTCCTCAAAACTACTGAACTGTTTTGCATAGCATCCTGCTCACTCCTAATTCTGCATGTTCTGTCATCTTATGTTACAAAAACTGTAGCGTTATCGTCGGATGAGGCAGATCTCATATTTTGTCTCTATTCGAAAGTGATGGAGGGAAATGTCATAGGTAGGGGGGGAGTAGGATTTCTCGGTGTGTGTGTGTGTGTGTCGTAATAGATTAATCCGGTATTCCGGTTATTAAGTCCAGTTGTTTCCTTATTGTATGCAAAAATTTGTAAAAGCTTCAATTGAGTGTTTGTAAGTATTTGATGAAAAATAACATTTGGAAGTTGCTGAGTTTTAAAAATTTTCACTAGCAGTAATAACGTAATAGTTGAAGATAGTAGAGTAGTGATTTTAACAGTTCTACTTAAAGTTCGGATATCTAATATATAACTAGGCATACATGATATCAATGTGTATTCATGATTTAATCTAACTGTAAGCATTTGCAAAAGAATTTATCACTGTCTAGTCTTTTTAATTTATCATTGTCATGTTTAATTGCTTTAATAGCAAGAATGACGTCATTTGTTGTGGTGTACTATTCGATTCTCTAACAGTATGTTGTATATTTCTTTTTCTCAGGGCCACGTGTTGAGAACGAAGAAAAACTTCAATCAGCATAGCAATGTCAACGATGAATAATACACTTCCTAACAATCAAGGAGACCATTACAGTTGTTCGGACGAAGTCGTCGTTAGTTTTTTCTTTTTTTTTTTTCCTTTTTTTGTGATGTAGTTATTGCTGGCCGATTCATCTCGACATAGCCATGTTAGCTGTAAAGACTTTTTTTTATGCTTCTTGTTTATATGCTTTGTAATCACTTCCATTCCAAATATTTTTAAAATGCTAAAGAAGTTATAATTCACAATATATCATAGAACTTGATAAAAGCACGTTGAACACTAATATGTAAGTATAAAATAATATCTTTAAGATATTGTTTTTTCGCGTTCATGTATATGCAGAATTTGATATCCTGGAAATTTTTCTGAAAATTAACAGTAAAGCTATTGCAGCACAGCTCAGAAAAAATTATATAGTAAATTCAGCAGTAAGCACTCAGCGTTGAAGAGGCACTTTTTCTGTTAGTATAAAAAGCAGAATTATCTTAGGTTAATTGTAAAAGTTTGATTTTTATCTGTCAGAATATTTTTAAAACAAGGGTGTTAGTAAATATTGAATGACTCATGTATGTGAACATAATACAAGTTTAATGTTTCTTTTACTGTTTATGTCAGCTTTTGGTCTATTTAAATCTCCTAGAGTTCAGAGTATGGTAAATTCTTGACATTTTATTCGTTACAGCCTGAATCGCTTCAGGGCGAATCAACAGCTGAACTTATGGCAGACCTTTCTCTCAGAGAAAAAGAAAAAAATCTGAGTGCAGTTTACCTGAACGAGCGTCAGTCTGTACTAGAAGTGAGTTATTGACCTTATATTTGAAGCATACTAAAGCATTCAGATCCATGTCGATTGCAGCGTGCTTTATAAAATAAAAGATGTTGAAGATTCTTACATCTTATCTTGCTTTGACTAATATATTTGTGCTTTTTAAACATGGAGTAGCACTTAGCGTTCACATATTCCCACATTAAACAGTTAAGGTACACGAGTTATTTTGAGAAACTGTATCAATTTTTAGTTTTTTTTTAATTTATAAGGATTAGTATGAAGTTACATAGTATACTTGATGGTTTTATTGTATCTTTCACTTAAAGAAAATATAAGAATTCCGTGGTATTATACAGTTAACGTTTTGGAATATTTCTACGATTATGAAATTGAAAGGTCTTTTGATTTATACATTTATCATGCAAAGTATATTTGAGGACAGAAGCACTAGATTTTATGCATTTTGCCTATTACAATTTATTTTTTCAGAAGTTCATCAGTTGGACGGATCAAGATCAGGTGGATTTCGTCAAAACTCTTATCCGTAGTATGTGCCATGATCAACACGGACAAATAGATGCATTTTTGAAACCTATTTTGCAGCGAGATTTCATCGCCTTCTTACCAGGTTTTCAAAAAAAAATGTGTTTTCGAGAAATTGTAAAATTTGTTTCGAACGCAAACCAGACAAAGAACTTTTGGTTTTGTTGTTGAGATTTCTGCTGATTTTAGCCGTTTTTTGTACTCCTATCGCTAAGAAAATTAGAACAGTTGTAGATGAAAGTGGATGATATTTTTTGTTTCAAAAATCTGATTGTTTTCGATGTAGAAATATCGGAACCGACGTCTTGTTTCAGATCGACTAGCAAGGTATGTTTTATCCTTCCTTGATGCTCGTTGGCTGAATTCAAGTGAAAAAGTCGTACTTGGCGGCAAATCATATCGCACGGAAAGCTGTGGCGCCGATTGATTGAACGAAACGTTCAGACTAACCCGGTATGGAAAGGAGTAGTGGATAAACGTGGATGGTAATATTTTCGATCTTGAAATTTTAAAATTTCTTTGGTTCGGCAACTAGTCTAGTATTTAATGGACATGATAAAACACTTTTTTTTTTCATCTTTTCCAACTGATAATGGTTTTAGGCGAAACTTCTTATTTGTTTCGAAGGAAAAAGCTCACGCACTAATATTTCAAGATTTTTGGGATATCCTCCTAATCTTATCGAATAGCTCAGGCTTATTTCCTTTCATATCTTAGTTTGTTTGATTTAAGAGATTTTTTTTTTCGCCGAAATTTATAATAGTATGAAAGCATATGGATACTCACTGTATCGTGAAATTTTAGTTTGGTACTTTGGTGAGAGGATTTTTTGTAATAGTGGATTCGAAAAAAATTGAATATTGATTAGCCTTATGTTAATTTTTTAAATATTAATGCTAAAAAACTTCGTGTTTTTTCAGGAATACAATAGATTCACTAGAAGCCCAGCATCATTTTTATAGAAATTTGTATCCCAAAATAAATCAAGATATTGAATTTCTCAAATCTAATTGGCAAAATGGACGGCATGTATTATCCCATGTTACTTGTCATTCAGAACCTAGTAGAGGTGCTTCATTTATGACTCTTCATATGTTGCTTTATAGTGTTGGCTGTGAAAATTGTTGCTTACGACATTGAAAATATGTCAGAAAATTCTTTTTTTTTGGCTAGAGATTTTTTTGCCTATTAAGCTTTTATTTTTTCTGCTGCATTAAGATAGTAAATTGTTTAGGTGTGTATTGCCTACAGTATGATGACGATAAAATAATATCGGGACTACGAGATCACACAATCAAGATCTGGCAGCGAAAAGATTTACAATGTTCGAAAACTTTACACACTGGCTCGGTGCTTTATCTACAGTATGATGATCGAGTCATTATTAGTGGAAGTAGCGATACTACAGTAAGGCATGTAAACATTGTATTAATTTTGTGTTCACTATTTGAAAAATCAAATTTTTTACTTTTTCGTTGATGTTGGATCAGACAACATGTTGAATCGTAGATTAACAACTTTATGACATTACTTTCTGCTTCAAATTCAATTGGTCACATTTGAGTTTTTTCTCTTTAGATAGTGTTGATATCTATCTTCGCAACATTTTGATCATTTATCAAGTATTTCATAATGTCTTTATTATTTTTATCTGGGATCATAATTTTTATAAAACTTTTTTTTGACTTTCTTTTTCTTTTACTATGAGTTTTTCAGTTTTTATAACTTTAAATTTTTGAATAAAATGTTTGTGGAGTGTGGGATGTGCACATTGGAGAACTGCTGCATACATTGATGCATCACGTTGAGGCAGTTTTGCACTTACGTTTCCAAAATAGCATGATGGTTACCTGGTACGCTTTCGATATAGAATTATTTTAGAATCCGTCCAATGGAAATTTGTTGGTATTTACAGTCAGGAGATATTCAGTAATTTGTGAATATTTCAGTTCTAAGGATCGTTCAATAGCAGTTTGGGGTATGATTTCTCCACGTGAAATCAACGTACGTCGTGTGCTTGTAGCTCATCGCGCTGCTCTTAATGTTGTAGATTTTGACAGTCAAATATATTGTTTCAGCCTCGGGTGATCGTACAATTAAAGTGAGCACTGATTTCCTATTACAGATATTTGTGATATTAAACTTTTGCTCTCAGTGCGGTTCTTCGCTCCAACTCTTCTTTTTATTCTTTCTCAAACTTAACAATTTGTCTTTATGAAGTCTGATTTTACATATTGTCATGCATTAAAAGTGATACGTCAATTTTCTAATAATGGCAGTATGGTTTTTCAAGTTTAAAGTAGTTTACGATCTTCTATTTATTAAATTTCGGAGATTACATTTTTTTTTTTTTCACGTTTTAAGGTTTGGAGCACTGATACATGTGAATTTGTACGGACTATGATCGGTCATAGACGAGGCATTGCATGCTTACAGTATCATGACCGATTAGTTGTGTCTGGTTCAAGTAATAACACTATCACGTTCTATTTGGGAAAAATATTCACATTTGTTTTGTGTTTACGTTATTTTTCGAATAATTCAGGTTATGGGATATTGAAATAGGCGCTTGTCTAAGAGTTCTGGAAGGTCATGAACAACTAGTTCGTTGTATTCGATTCGACTCGAAACGTATTGTTTCTGGTGCTTATGATGGGTATGTTCTTGTCATATTTGTATTTTGGTTTGTTTCTTGACTATGTATGGTATTTTTTTCGATTTCGATAGTTTCAGACGAATCAAAGTTTGGGATCTTCAAGCAGTAATGAATCCGCGTTCTCCACCAGATAGTATATGCTTGTTAACATTGGTGGTAAGTGATTTAAAATGAAAATAATGGTGAATTTAAGTAAGGTACTTTCTTTATGCATTGCTCTACGCATTTTTAAAACTTGCTGAAAAACACTATTGATGCACGATGCATATTTTTCCGAAGCTTCAACTATAATAAATATATGTTGTATTCTAGATACAGAAAAATGAATACTTCGAAACAAATTAGCTACCTGTGGTATTTTGAAAACTGAGAAATAATCTGTGAAAGAATCTGGAATGAAAGATAACTGTGCTTGATTTGTGCTCATATTATGTTTTAGAAGCATAGTTAATTGTTAACGAAAATTATAAAAAACTTTGTAGCTAATGGTATATTTTAAGTTCAGGAGCACACAGGTCGAGTTTTTCGTCTGCAGTTTGATGAATTTCAAAATCTTCCCATGATGACACGGTACTTATTTGGGATTTCCTTGAGCCGCAGCCTAAAACTCATGCATTGGAAGGCACACTTCAGCAGACTTCAGGGCCTGCTGCTGTGCCAAGTGCTGATAATGCAGCACAAGTACCGAACGTTGGTGGAGTACCTCAGGTTGATCAGCAGAATTTAGAAGATTCTGAAAACGGTAAGTTTTCATAATTGCTATTTCTAGTTCATAGATATCTCATAGCTAACACTCTCTCGTTTTTATGCCGATCTGTAACAGTTATTGATATCAATTTTATTTCAGATGATGATGTAGATGATGTGATACGACAGCGACAGGTGCCAATGGAAGTTGTTGAACTTGCGGCCTTAAATGAAAGGGATAGGTTCGTTTCAGGAGTACCTTGCGAAATGTAATTAATTAGTGCTAGAGCGGTTAAGAATGTACTTTTTTAATTTACTTACAGGTTTATTGTCCTTTCCATTATACAGAAATTTAAGTCTTATTTTAATAGGTTCAGTTTAACCTTGTTATTTATTTTTTTTTTTTTTTAGGGAGAATAACAGTCCGTTAGAACATGATGGAGAATATGAACAAAGGCGTCGTGACGCTGACGCTAGGATTTAACTTGCACGAAATTCTTTCTAATTTTGCGCTGAACTGACGTATGCTGATAGTTCTTAATGAGTTTTTGTTTCAATTCTCGATTCATCAAAATATGAATTATTTGTTTTAGAAATCAGCATTGATACCACTGTCTTACAATTTTTATGTTTTTCATTTCATAGGATATATGTATGTGTGTTTGTGTCTGTCTGTGTGTGTTAGGAAATAGATTTTTTTGGTACTTTAGATTGATGCTATTAACTTCTGGCAAGAACTATGAGTATTGAATCCAGTTTCTTATAAATCATTTATTTTTACTTCAGGTTTTTTAAGTTACTTTTAGAATGTAATTCTGAGTTACTGAACTGATTACTCTCAAATACTTCTTTGGCGAATCTAGTTTTCGTTTCTCTAGTATAATGATAAACTCGGATTCAAGCCTCAATTCAGACCATTCTGTGGTCTGAATTAATCCTTAGTTTACTTAGTTTTTGTTCATAAGTTGTATGCTCGATAAATTTCCAACCACTATTCGAATATCATTCTGTTATGTTTAATTTAGTGCATAATTCACTTTATCAATCTCCAACTGAAATAATCGATTAAACATTCACAAATTCTTTCAGAAGTACAAGAATGATTACGTCGAGCTTATGGTATTCTTCTATAAAAACCTTTCTCAATGTTTTCATTTTTTTTTGAACTGTGATATTTTTTTTTCTTTTCTTTTCTTTTGTTTTCTTCATTGATACTTTTTTTGTCATTTGATGAGTCTTTTAGAACTAGTGGATCATATATTGAGTGACTGTGAGAAATTTGGTATTTTGGGACAAAAGATTTAAAAATCGTGTATTTTCATTTTTTTTAAAAGTTTTTCTGACTCATCTGTTATGAGAAGCAAATTTTATAATGCACATTCTTTTGTATTATAATTAGGTTTGTATCTGTCTTTGTAATTGCCAATGGATCGGGAGACTTAGGCGTTCAATTTTTTATGGAAATTTAAATATATTTTTATTTAAATATATTTTTAGTTATCTAACTCATTTGTTGATGGAGTATTCCGCTTTCAGACGTATCTTTTTAACTTCCAATTTTGGATATTTCGCAAAATTCATAAATTTTATAAAACTAACCTCCGATTCACATGTACGGGTTTTCGCAAATGTTGCTGTCACTGAAACAGTGCATTCTTGTTCATGTTTATGATACCAAATGATCAACCTTGTGTTTGTACTATGAAAATTGCATAAAAGTATATCTGTGATGTATTTCGTCCAAAAAAAAAAAAAGATCAAAGCATTTCAGTTGATAGCTAGCTATGTATATTAATAGAAAATGTATAATTCAGCGAAATATTTCGTTATCCTTTATGCTATATAAATGATCACTCACTATTACTATTATAGGTCATTCTGATGGTACTATATATAGGTCAATATGTTTACGATATATGCTACCACTGGAGACATCAATAGATGACCACTGATTGGTCATCTATTGAATTGTAATCTGGTCACAACCCTGTGAAGAGAGGGAGGGTGAGAGAAATGGACAGACGTTTGTTGTCTACGGCACTCCAATTTAGTTGATGACATTAGTGCACCTGTTATTTTCCTCTGATCACTCTTCGGATAGTTTGTTTTTTTTTTTTTTTTTTTTGAAGAGCATTGAAGTGGAAGGAGAGAAAATATGTGGTCGTGAACGAGATGAGTGAGAAAAGAAAAAAAAAGAAAGCAGTATAGATAGATCTAAAATAACAAAACACAGCTATTCTTTCAATCTAGTGACATCATCATTCCTTGCATAGGAACAAAAATTGAAAAATTTGAAATGAACTCTATCTTCTTTATCTCATTCCCAACCTAGATTTTTGGCGCTTATAATTATAGGAATGGTTTTGGATAGGATAAATAATATTTGTTTATTGGGATATGTCAAAGGTCACATGATAGTTAGCTATTTAAATATGCAAGATTATTGAGCGGGAAGATGATATAGTAGTTTTATATAAATTGGATGAGCCTGGAACTAACATTCACTGTATTTTATTGATGTTGTTCTATTCCGGTGACTTGTACATACAATCTCGTCCACAAGTTTCTTCCTAATGAATTTAACAATGCAATTCTTCTCGTCCTTAATTCAATTATACGTGTAATGTCACGTAGAAGCTAACACTAAAATGTGCACAAATTAAAATACCAGATCGATCCACTGCGGATTTTAGGATAGTGTCATCCGTATATGTTTCTAATCATTGTTCCTTTTAACTATTTTGTTTTGATGAACCATTACCAGTATGTATTTTAGTGTTGGTTTCTAAAGGAGTTTAACATCGAAGATGTCTAACATTTCCCTTTTTTTTTTTTTAATCGACTAACGCGTTTTGTAGTTCGTTTAATCCTCGAAGTATTTTTGTCTAATGTGTTCGTTCATCTTGTGTGCTTGGTAAATAGAACTGTCAACAAAGTAATGTTGATTTGAGATATCATTAGTTTTCGAAATATTAGCTTTAAAAATTGTTACAATTTATGTTTTTAATGCTGGGTACATGAGAAAAAAAAAAACGAAGCGCATTACTTCCACTGATTATTTGCTTTTGTTGTTTGGAAGGAAAAAAAGAAAAAATTTTTGTGTTAGTTCTCAATTTCGAATTGCTTTTCTATCCTTTGACTGTTGTGTATCATCTTACACCTTTTTATCCCAACGAACGTCATAAATGCCTTCCCTCATTTTATTTGTGGAGATTAGATGTGGCTTGACGTCCATCAACGGCTTTTAGTGAATGTCGAAGAAATTAGAAATGACATATATATATATATTCGGTGGTATCAGGATAATTTGAAGTATTTTGTGGCTAAGCGAGAAGGGAGAAAAAAATGTAAGAAAGATCGATTTATAAGAAGAAAAATGCTCTCTGTATTAATTGACGTTAAAAGGGAATGGGATAGGGAAGTATTGTTAGGTACAAGGAGGAGAGGAGGGGAGTGTTATGTGCCAGTCGAGTTTCACTTCCGTTGTCGCATGACTTTGATCGGAAGCGAGCAAAACAGGCATCATTTCATGCCTTTCAGAGAGGGAGGGAGTGGAGGAGAGGAGAAATTGTCGACAATTTGCACATTCTCTTTTCTTTGTTTTAACTGCTTTATTTTTGAAAGATTGGAAAGAAAGAAGAGTAGTGTTGATGTTTATTTTGTGATGTTGTTGTTGTAAGTGGAACTTTTTGCAGATAGAGAGTAGAAGATAGGAGGAAGTAAATTTGTGAAGATCACAATGGATGTAGAAGAAGGATAGGAAATGCGAGAGAGAGAGAGTCACAATTGCAAGTCATTTATTTCATGCAGGTTACTGAATATATATTGTCATCGTCTCTCTTTGCCTACACTTCAGGTATTATTATTATGAGTTGTGTATTAGAGTCTGTGATGTGCGCAAAATGGATGGTTCTGGAGGATAAGGGCAAGCAAGGAGACGTGTGACACAGTGCTCTCCTGGTCTCTTCCAGAAGTCCAACAATTGATGACGACCAGGAAGGAGACATTGTTGCTAAGCACATAGATGGACTGTCACTCTACAATGGGCAAGTAATGGCCAAACTAGGCAGAATGAAGAGGAGAGGTGTGCTACAGAGCGGAGATGCACCCAGTGCTGCTGGTGCTGGTTGATCCGAGGGGTTCCGAATTGTGTTGCTATTGACAAGTGGAACGTTTATACACCACAGCACAGCGCACAGCACATCAGTTCAGTGTGCTGTGCACCATGCACCCATTTCTCTCAGCTATCGCACTCTCTCTGCATTCATCTCTCTCCCTCTGTGCTGCTGTTATTGCTTATGCTCTATAGTACTGATCCCATCATGTTTGCCTATCCTGGGGCATGTTTCTTGCATGTCTACCTCTGTCCTGCCTACCTACCTATCTATCTATCACCTACCTATCCCATCTGTTTATGCTTAGGCCGTCTCTTGGTGTTACGTACGATTCGGTTCTTCTCATCACTTTAGACTAACTACCATTTGAGATGGTGATGATCGCATGGTCCATGTTTGAGGCGCACTTATTCCTTTCATTTGTTGTTCATTGTGGTACACGTTACTCTCACTCTCTCTCCCTCTCTCTCGACAAGATCAACTGTTTCAGAGTACATCTAACTTGGCCTTGGCTAGCTGCTGCTTCATTAGCTTACAATATTTTGGGACAAATATTAAAGTGATAAAGTTATCTGATATCTGGGATGTTTTCGCTCTTCTAGGAAAAGACATCTTTGCGCTTCATCCTTGTGTATCATACTTTGTGTAAACAATGTGTGTGATAAATACATCCTTATGAATTATCTCTTTTTATACTTTTGCTATTCATAAGCTTAGAACTTATGAATAGCAATAGGAAAGTAAAAATAGGACTGTTAGTAATGAAATGTTTTGATATCAGAGCATTGGTTTTCTTCAAAATGGTTTACAGAAAGATGTAAGATTCCTATTTATTTAATGTGCTGTTGTAGCATATGTGATTTAGATCGTTTGGCAAGGGGTCACACTGAGCAGTTTCTTAATTGGTTGCAAAAGTGGTTGCCGTTTCTTTGTTTCTTTCGTATACCATTGCTGTACGCTTTGTAAGTGCCATGTGGAATTGATTAGGTATATGAGGTAGTCCATCCTTTTGTGTTTCTTATGCAAAATTATGAATTAGTTTTTGTCACCACTAAAATCAAACGATACAACTTATTCAGTTCCGCAATAAATTTGTAATAGTTTATTTTTAAAGAAGTTCCTAATCGCTTTTGCTGTTAAAATATGTCTACTTATTGCAAATGAGTTTTGCTTTATTGTGTTTGATTTGATTTCTTTAATCTTATGACACAGAGTCTGTTAATGCGGCGAATTTATTGCAATGATGGAAAATTGTGCAAAGTTCCTGAAACGAAGTAATAATAAATCAAATTTCTAAGGCATTTAAAGGGTGTATATGGTCAGCCATTTTCTATGCTTAAATGCATTATGAAATTTGAAATAAGTGGTAAATTAAGATGTATAATTATCACTATAAAAGCAAGGTATAATTATCACTATATTAGCGAAGTAGACCAATTGCTGGTATGATAGCCATAAAACTAATGATTACACATATAAATCTTGGGGGTTTAGATTTTTTAGATTGAAGTTTAGATGAATCCTCTAAATTATCAGCTGCCAGTGTGCCAGCAATTTCACGGCATGATGTGGAATATGAAATAAGTGAAATTGCAGAATAAAAAACCCGTAATACTAGCTCCTGTAATGATATGAAACATTTTATCTGTGGGGAATAAATTCGCTTTGATTTCTTTGACTTTTGGTTGGTATGCTGTAATAATTATGTCGCAACTTATGTTTCTTGTATTAAAAATTATTCAGTTAAATGTATAGGAAGAAGTTAAGTTTTTCAACATAATATAAATATGTGCTAATGTTGAGAAACTAAATTTCGTATTTTAGGGATACAAAACTTGTTTAACAAAGTTGCTCCGGTTTATTCTTTTATTTTTGATATTGCATTATTTACTTCGCCGCGCCGCGAGATCCATTATAAATATTATTAGTAGAACATATACGTACTTTTGTATTCAGGAACTAACCACATTCATTAACGAGAGGTCGTAGAGAAGTAAAAGAAGTGGCCTCATGTGAGCTCCAGTTGATAATACATAAGCTAAAACAGCTTCGCTGAATTCGTGGAGCATTGAACAAAAGCAGGTAATTGTTGTTAATAAATGTTTTAGAAGGGGAAGAGAAAAATCACATCGCAATTTACCTAGTTTTATTTGCAATTACAGTTAATCTTTGGTAGTTGTTCTTGTATAACGTATTGTAGCTTTCATTCAAAAGTGCTGACACCAGATGTGCATTTGTCTGAAGAAGCATCTTTTTGCAGAATCGTTGGAGTAGTGTTAGTGATTACACTAGTAATGCAATATTCGATGAGCATATGCGATCAATTGTACCACCGGCTTTTCGTAATAGTAAAGCGAAAGTTGTCTGGCAAGAGCCAAAATCATTAGGTAAAATTTCATTTCAATTGCATTAGTATTCTCAGCTATTTGAAGACAATGAATTGGAAAATTAAAAAGAGCAATATTTTTCTAGAATACCAAACATACTTCAGAAGCAAACATCAATGAAGCATTGGGCATCTGGCAAGCAACGCTTATCAACCAGTTTTCCTTAGAACAGGAACCATTAAGTGGTTTGTTTCAAACGTAGTGTTTGACCTCCGATTTTATGCACTAAATCAAGTTTGGTTCTGCCTTTTTTTAAATTGGGCGATTGATTCTTTCTTTTTGTTTACTTCTTTGTTTGTTTGTTTTCTTGTTTATATGTTCTATTTAAAAATTTGTTCTGTTTTATAACGGCATACTAAAATAATTGTAGTCCTAAGTGTCGTCATTCAGATATATATGAGCAAGAATATTATATCATCTAGCATTTTTCAAGTTGTTTTGTTTTAAGAATGACTGGAAGAAGATACCATATTAATTGCAATATTAATTATAAAAACTAGCCACTTTCCTCCATCATTTACTAATTGTGGCACAACAAGGGGATGGTCGCAACCTGAAATTGGTTGGTACTTCATTCTTTGTTTTATTGTTTTACTACTGGAGCTAATAAATGTTTCGATTGTACCTCGGTTATGTTTTGGGAGTATTTTAGAACAACGAAATTGGGATATGTCTACTCATTCACAAACAGTACGAGCAGTAGTACCATTTTGTGGTAGTCTAATTCAAAATAAATTATGGCCAAATGAAGAGCAAGTTTGGGGTAGTGCTCAGCGTCCTTCAGTATTTCCAATAGCTCTACCACCGCCTGCTTATGCTGCAAATAAGTATTTGAATTAATGTGTGAAGTAATTGTGTTTTTTAATCTTTTTTTTTTAAATCTTTATAGGCTGGCAGCAAAATGCACCACGTGGTAACGTTTTTCCTCCGCCGACACGATTCAGCAGTCCACCATTCGAAAGTAACGCTGTAATGGGAAATTGGGTGCAGCGTCCGATAAATGAGCCAGTACAGCCGCCGGTGCCACCGTCTGCAATTCCACCACCGCAGCGAAGTCGGCTGCAAAATGTTTGGGGTGGCACACCAGCTGTAAACAATACAGTCAATGGAATGTATCTCTCGCCACCTACTGTCAAGTACAGTGTAAGATTTCTTCCATCTTCATTATGTCAAATATCAGAAGTACTGTTGGGTGTATTAGGAAGTTAAAGTGTTTTATAGAATTTCTTGAATGATATTTTGAAAGGTTCGTTGTTGTTTTAGGGACACCCAGTTTCATTGCGATTTGTTTTGATTTATCTTGAAGTCTAAAAATTGTGACTTAATCAAATTCGATGAAACACATTCGATGAAATGATAAAAATCAAATTCGATGAAATGATAAAAATCAATATCATTGACTAAGCATTTCATCATTTTAGATACCAAATGGGTTGACACAATGGAATCCTTCAACAGGTAGCAATGGTGCAACAGTAACTGTTGTACCAAAACCACAATTTGCCCAAAAGTTTGTGAATCGTTCTTCTCCTCCCAACACTTTCAATTCGTATTCACAAGTCTCCACATCTGATTCGATTGGTGTTTTTCCACTGATTTTCCATTTTTGAAACGACACATCCTCATTTCATCGTTCTGTTTATACTTGCTTGCACCATGTCCAGGATTTTAAATCTTATCACTGTTGTTTGCAGTTTATGGGAGATAATGCTATCTGGCAGGATCCAGAAGATGAAGTACGTAAATGGCAACGAGATATTGTTACTGTTGCATGGGGTGATCCTGGGAAGCAACAAAGTTATCTTTTTACTTATCGTATGACTGCACTTTATTGAATTTATTGATAACAGTGTTATCAGTTCAATCTTTCAGAAGAAATCAAACGATGGATTATACCAGTCGGAAAAGAGTACGATAACTCAGATAACGAAAGCGGTAAGTTTGGCTTTCAGATCGTAACAGAATTCCTATGTTAGTCGGTACTTATTCTATTCGCCTCAAGAAAATATATTTCATTTCAGGCGTTCGTGTAATCATTCCTCTTGGTTGGGGCGATCTTCCCTTAAAATCATCGAATAATAATGCTGCACCGATCTTGGCGAATTCTCTTCCAGCGTAACCAGCTAAAAGTGCGTAAGCGATTGCTGTCACGGCTTCATCAGGTTTGTTATAAATCTGGTTGCTCATACGTTGTGGATTGTTCTGGATTGGCATTGTATGCTTTTCTGGGTGTATTAAAAAGGGCTTAATTATTCTAAGAACCTGATGGCTAAGGATCATTTTACTCGCCAGGTTGCATTTGAACTGAGTGATTTCAGATCTTTTTTTCGGAAATATTTTTTGAAACTGTTCGTTTAGGATGGGATAATCGTTCGGCTTCAGGAACTGTGAAATCAATAATCATTCCAACTCTTTGGAAAATTCTATCTGAACATCAGCCTCCATCACTAGAAAATGGTTGGATACCGCCAGATAGTATGGGCAATGCAACCATGTCTGCTTCAACGCAACAAATTGTTGAACAGCTACATCAGACTGTTGCGAAAGGTACTATAAGCTGGTTTACCGTGGATTGAAGAAGTGATAATTGGAGTGATCATGATTTAATATTATTAAAATAAAATAGTTTAGGACTGATTAATGTTTCACTTCTCCGAATGAGGCGCTCTCAGAGATGCGCACGCTTCTCAGTCGCATTCCGGTACTGGAACAGGCAGAAAATGACTTAGCTCGTCTTATGAACACCGTTAAAATTGTAAGCTTCTTTCGAAACAAATGTTCTTGTTAGTTCGATATAATTAAAACACGGCCGTAGTTTTGCATTTAATTTTGAATCCGACAGATTTTATGACATCCGAGCAGCGATCAGAATATAGTCGACTAATAATTGAGATTGCTGCAACTAAAACGGAAATTTCAACAATTCGTGAACGTACACGTGGAAATTCCGATGCTATCGGTGTAACGGTAGGTCTTTTACCTAAATGTTTTCATATGGAACATTTGTTAAGGTGTTCCTATTTACGTATAATGCAATATTTATCATGCATAGAAGTACAGACATGAGAACATGAGAAGCATATGTGTTGAATTCTATAACGGATTACTCATATCACAGTAAATACAATAAGTAGACGAGAAATAAATAGAAACTGGATGAAATTAAATTGAAAGCATGGAAACTGTTAAAAGAAAACTGGCGATTTGTTTTAAAATTAATTTTGTAAGCAAATAAATTTAAAGATTGAGCAGATTTTTGCAGCCGCAACCAGCTGCAACAACGACTTCTCGTTTTGGTGATAGTATTCTGGATGTTGCTGCTCGTGTTGAGCAACAAAAACTGTTTTCAGTGTAATAATGGATATAAAACATCGACTAGTCTGCAAGGCACGTATGTATCGCTATACCTACCTTTTTCATCATGAAATTTTCGACAGAATCCAACCTCACGGTGCGTTTGCAGCTCAATTCATGCGTAATGGAACTTATATTTTTTTTTTTTTTTGTTAGTCCTAAATAATATGTACAATGCTATCTCTAATTCATCGATTTCTCATTTTTTTTTTTTTAATTAGATGAATGCGCGCATGTCCCTTTTCGTCTTCTATATTTTCTTTAAAAAAATTCCACCTAACACCTCCAATACTTTGTGCATTATGATAACCTTACAGCCATTTTTGTATGTTAACTTTCGTGGATTTTTCAAAAATTACCGAGGTGAAAAAATGAAACAGCTTTACTGCACAAAATATTTATTTATATTTCTGACTTTGGTGCTAATATACTGCACAAGAGTGTATGCAGTAAATAAGTTCTCATTTACTAGTAAGAGGTACGGAGTAATTCTATTTCTAATGAATTTATTATTTATAAACATGAAAACTAATCTAAATATTCTTTGTGTCTTTCTTTCAGTTCTCGTGGGTCATTTATGTTGATATCTTGATTGATTATTATTGTATTACATCAAATTATTTCTTTTTGTACGTGTTTTTTCATCATTTAATTAGGATAAGCGCATTAGTTATGTCGTGATAATTCCTTCCTTTTTTCATTTTTGTATCATTAAATATTCTATATGCTGTAGTTCAGTTGATCCATTGTTGATACTTTCAAACTCGTGCATACTTTTTGATTCCAAGCTCATTGATAATGTTCACTGTGTGTAGCTACTGTGAACTTTCTTGTTGAGAGGAAGAATTTTCTTGTTTTTGGAGGAATTTTATATGGTAATCACGTTGTTTGAAACATACTTGTGTTTTGCTTTTTTCTTCCTTTCCTTTCCTTAGCTTTTGGCTCCTAAATTTCCAAAAGCTCCATATATGTTTCTATTCTCAGCTAAAACTCACTCGAAGTGGGAGGAATGCTTCTGCGTGTTGTCGTGGTATGTATATGTCAAAGAAACAAGTTCGGTTCGGTTACGTACTCCAAGTTTCTGAAAATTGTAAATTTGCTTATTGATGGATTGGAAATATATTTTTGAGTTTGGTGTCATCTTTTAGCTGATTTATGATCATGGCTTCCACATATTAAAAATGTTCGGTCAAAGGTTTTTAGCAAAGTCAGAATGATTTTTGGCCAAGTTTGTTCACTGAACCGAATCTTTTGGTGTCATCTGCTTCATATGCATTGTAGTTTGTCAATGTTTGTTAGGTTAGGCTATTTATCACTCATAGCATAAGCTTGTGTGTACGTCCAGTACATGTAGTGCTCACAGTGGTACAGTACCTCCACTTGCTGCATTTACTGCAGGGTCTTTAATGTCGTGGTGTTATCAGTAGCTTTGTCAAAAACCTCGGGATAGCATGTTTATATTTTTATATTTATAGCATAAGTAGCCAATAGTTCTATCTTATTTACACTCTATTATCACTTTATAAAGTATTTCATGTGTTTTCTTTTTTATCGAAATCCTAAAGCTATTCGGGATGTTAATTCATGCTTCCGTACTAAATGCTTACTATCAACATTTATTCCATATTCGTATGTACGGTAGCTTTCATTCAGTCATTAAGTTCCAACAGAATAAGAAGGAGCCATTGCAGCAAGAGTCGTGGATTTTCTGAAGTTCAGTTTTCTGAAAATATTCTTCCTCAAAACTCAAAAAAAGATTTTTCGAGCAGCAGGATTAGTGCTGCTATTGATCACTGAAAGCTACTGTTCTTTGGTTGCCTCGCATTTCTATGTTTTTTGTCAAATAGGAAAATATCGATTCTCGTTACTTCGGGTATTCTTAGTCATTTGCGCCGTTTTTATTCTCAGTGTACAATTTAATTTTTTCTTTCCCATCTTGTTTATTGTATCATTATTGTGTTATATATATATATATATCACTAACTATTAATTATTCAACTGAGCATTAATTGCTGTCAACTTTTTTTTCCTGATATGGTTACCATTTGTCATTATCAGCTATGATTAGCAGAAACAACACCATCAGCAAATGCTCATCGTTACTTCGCCATTATTATTATTATTATTATTATTATTATTATTATTATTATTATTATTATTAATTATTATTATTATTAATTATTATTATTATTAATTATTATTATTATTAATTATTATTATTATTAATTATTATTATTATTAATTATTATTATTATTAATTATTATTATTATTAATTATTATTATTATTATTATTATTATTAATTATTATTATTATTAATTATTATTATTATTAATTATTATTATTATTAATTATTATTATTAATTATTATTATTATTAATTATTATTATTATTAATTATTATTATTATTAATTATTATTATTATTAATTATTATTATTATTAATTATTATTATTATTAATTATTATTATTATTAATTATTATTATTATTAATTATTATTATTATTAATTATTATTATTATTAATTATTATTATTATTAATTATTATTATTATTAATTATTATTATTATTAATTATTATTATTATTAATTATTATTATTATTAATTATTATTATTATTAATTATTATTATTATTAATTATTATTATTATTAATTATTATTATTATTAATTATTATTATTATTAATTATTATTATTATTATTAATTATTATTATTATTATTAATTATTATTATTATTAATTATTATTATTATTAATTATTATTATTATCAATTATTATTATTATCAATTATTATTATTATTAATTATTATTATTATCAATTATTATTATTATTAATTATTATTATTATTAATTATTATTATTATTAATTATTATTATTATTAATTATTATTATTATTAATTATTATTATTATTAATTATTATTATTAATTATTATTATTATTAATTATTATTATTATTAATTATTAATTATTATTATTATTATTATTATTGCTATTATTATTGCTATTGCTATTAATTCCTGAATGTCTTTTCTTGTCATATTTTCATTCTTTTCCATATATTGTCCTTACTTTTTTCCAATCTCTTCATTGCAGGTTGTTTGTCATCTTTTTCTCTCCTTTTACATACAAAAGAAAAAAGTTGCAAATGATCTCGCTTCTATGTTTCCTTGGGGTCTGTCTTATTGATGCCAAATTTTGCAGGTAGGTGCTTTACAGCTCATTCATTGGGTATTGTTTATGTTGGTTCACTGCTTTTATTGAGCTCAATTCTGTTTCGGAATTAAGCACGGGATTTATGAAACTTTGCGTTTGTTTTAGTCAATGGGGTAGGGAAATTTATCTGTGTCTTTTTTTTAACGGTTGTTTCGGCATACTACGCAAATTTTTATTCGTGAAGCTTTTTTTGCAATCAATTTTTTTTTCTCAAGCCTTTTTGGATCTACTTCCCATTTCGCCTTCTCTGCTCTTTGTTTTTTCTCAGGTCACTTTTTAACGAACTTAAAACTACAATTCGCTGATGTAGGTAGATGCTGATGTCAATATTTCCCATAATCATTACATATTTAATATGCATAAGCATGAATGGTTTCGTTTTAGTATCTGTTTATCCCTTTTGGTCTCGAGCTTCTCAGTCTGAACAATACTTTATCATTTTAATCATGCCACCATCAGCCAACTGTATTCTTGATATTATTAGCCAAAGTAGATGTTTTGAAATCTTGAAAAAAGTGCGATATTCGTCCGCTCTCTCTCTCATTATTAACCAAATGATGTACGAGTATATAATCATATATGAATATATGTGGTCTTCCGAGATTCTTTTTAAAATGATGCTCTCTTGCTTGCTGTGATGTGTTGCCCCTTCTCAATTGTTCTTGAGTCTTTAAAAATGAAGGGAAATTTTTACTTTCTTGTTTATCATCGCATTTTTGTCAGAAGTTTAATTGGTTGTATTATTTTTTATTTATTCTGAATACTTCGTGAGGAAGTTTATATTTATTCTGAATACTTCCTCAATCTTCCTCACCATGCTTGTTTTGGTTATATTTGCAGCTATAGAATTCGTTTCTAAAAACTACCCGGTAACATCTATAAGTTATAATAAAGTTACAGTGTTGAGCATCTGTAAATTATAGTAAACAGATCAGATTGAGCTTTTATATTGGATCGAAGATAGATCAAAAAAGAAACAGTATTTGATGAATTGAGTGTGCAGAAAAAGTTAACCGGGAAACTTGTGTTATATTTCTTTCTCACTAGTCATATTGAGACTTTGAACAAGTGATAGTATGTTTCATGGAAAGTAGTACATGTTTGTCTAATTTACTGAAAGATAAGGGATTTTAAGTCATTTAAGAACATCAAATTTGAGTTTTTTTAAATTCCGGAAAATTGCATTGACAGTCTTATGCAGGTGTATGCATACCAGTATTTTCTTCGTTGGCTTTTCTTTTCTCACTTATATTGGTCAACGCAGTTCCAATCATCTTTATTCATTTTCTTTACCAGAAACCGAATCTTTAAAAAGTTTAGTTACAAATAAAATACACATTGCCTTGTCTTTTTCATTCGAATTTTGGGAATTTTTGACTCATTTAAAAATTTGAGAAATTAGCAAATCACTTTCGTCTTGTGTGCTTCTCTAACAAAGACATAAAAGCGAAGCTAATATTTACCCGATTGATAGAATTGATATCCTTTCCAATCATTTAAGTAATGTCGCAAATTTTAGGAGTATGAAAGTCTAACTTATTGGATCTCATTAAATAAAATTTGATATCAATTTAATTTCCTTTTCAGAAATCTCTTGCCTATTATCTGCTGATTAATTCCATTACGATTATTATGAAAATATAGCAAGAATTGGCAGATTGGGTGCTGTCTATTTCTTCTTTTTTTTTTTTGTTAATTTTTATTGTCCAAAAAATAATTCCCTGTATTCTTGAGCTGATACAGTAATACAATATTTGATCAGTTGTATTTTTGATTGCAGATTTATACATACACATCTTAATCACATGTATACATAAATCTTTTAATTAAGTTTTTCAACTCATACATTGAGTAAACTTTTTTACGCATCTTTTGTATGTATTGCATTCTATTTATAATAAGTAATATTAAAAGCAATATTTATAAAAATAGCTTATAAAAGATTATCTGTAATACGATGAAATAATTTCAATTATTGCAGTAATTAGAGTGGTGTGTTAATATTTTTGCATAAATCGGCTGAGATCTTATAGTGATGGAAGGAAATGTTACTTTAAACTTTCAAAGTATTTAAACGATTCGCAAGCATGTTTTTTTATTTATTTTTCTTTTTGAAATTTGAGTGATTATTGAGATGAATGGGCTAATTGGATGGATGGATGTAGGAAGAAATTCTGAGGAATCAGTGCATTATTAATTGCTGCTAATTTCAATTTTTTTTTTCTCTCAATGATATAGTCCTCATTAAATCAAATTTCAAATTTTGCTATAAAAAGAAAATGAAAATGAAAAGCCAGTAAAACTTTATCTCAAAGCTAGTGCAGATTTGTTATCTAAAACTTTTTTTTTTATATTTATAGAATTTTAATATGCAAGCAAGTAATGGAAGATATTAAAAATTTCGGAACAACGCAAAAATTTAGAAAAAAAAAGCTGAAGAAATATTAGAAAAAAAGATGAAATGTGCTGAAAGTGCCAGGCACTGGTTGTTACAATTTGCTTAATTCTTTATTTAAAGTTACATTTGCAATACAGTAGAAGGATTAATAAGCCTTTATTTTTCGAAAACATAGTTTGAATAAACCGAGGAATAAAAAAGAAGGGAATTTATAATAAAAAAGAAGACCGGAGGGATTGATATTGGTAATAATGGCAGTAATAATGATCCCTTTTGTTTATTAGAATTGAATTTATATAAGTGAGGATTGGGCGTGTCTAAGATAAAATCACATGTGTAAAGAATTTAAAGTGTTTACAACGAAAAGATTAAAATAAAAGCTAATTTCAATTTTACAGAAAAAATTACATGCATGAAGAATTGGAGGTGTTTACAAAAAAGAGATTAAAATTACATGTGTGAATACCGTAGGATTGTTTACAATTTAAAAAGAAGAAATGATTTATGATACTCTGAAATTGGTTAGAAGTTTTCGCGAAATTATCGCGACAGTTATGCTATTAACCATTTCTTCATAATAGCACTTCTTTCAATAACATGTTTTCTTTGAAATATATAATAATTACTAAATTGATTTTTGACATTAATTTTCAATTAGGAAATCAGCATGTTTTTTCTTTTTTTTTTCGAATTTCCTAGTTAAAATTAGATGTATAATTTAAGAAGATAAAAATGAAGAAAATCTTTAAAAATGAAATCACAATGAATATCGTTTTCTTTTTTATTTTTAGAGTTTCCAAAAGAAAAAAAAAGGTTTTTTTGATTATGAAAAATTCCTATCCTTCTAATTTCTATTTATTGATTTAATTTCATTAATTTTTTACTCAAAAATAAAATTGAATAATTCAGTTCCGCGAATGCAAGAAAGGATACAGTTTCATATGTAAAATGAAGATATGTAATTGTAAATTGTCAAATGTTACAATCAGTCATCGGTTACTGATATAAATGAAATGATCATTATTTTAATTTGTTCTCTGTTTGTGTTGACATACTTTTCTCATTTCCACATTTCAAAATATTTGTTGGTATACCAACAATGTAGGCTTAAATTTTCATAGAATAAAAATAAAAGTAAGTTAAATTATAATGTATATCTCTCTGAGTTATCTTCAATCGTTTTTTTTTTTTTATTCTGAATAATTGCTTACATTATTAGTTTGCTCAACGCTTTAAAAAAAAGTCAATTTATTTCATAGTAAATGGGATTGATTAATTGATTGATTAACTTGTTTGAGAAATTTCAAACAAATATATAGCAAAATTTTTTTTTTTAAATACTTTTTTAATATCAATTGCTGAAATAATATTTTCAGTAAGAATTTATAAATAGATATTTTAAATAATGCAAATAAAATAATTTGAATAAATTTAACTATTATAATGTATATCTTTCTGAGTTATCTATATAATTTTCTTAAGAATAAATATTTACTAAATGAATCAGTGTAAAAAAAGAAATAAAAAAAGAATTTATAAGATAAAATAAAGATATACAATTAAAATTCCATAAGAATTGAACAGTAATATCGTCGAAAAATGAGAAAATAAGCAAAAATAGATGCTATAAACCATAATATCCAATAAATTGCCCAACGACAGTAGTACCACGTCCTGGTTGGTTCTTCTTCGATTTCAAATATAATGCTAGGCACTTGTAATGGCTAAATTAAATTTAAATTGAAATTATGCTTTATAAAATGTACAGTAGAGCAATATGATAGTATATATGTATATATTAATGCTAATTTTAATTCTATAAAATAAATTTAAAAAAAAAAATACCCCTCCAGCTATTGGTGGTGCAATAAATTCGCTTGATGATTGATATGGTGTAGACTGCATTTGATAAAAAAAAATGCATTATTTTCAATTAATATTAAAAGAAAAGCAAATAATAATATCTCAGTTTATTTTCAAAATTTTCAACTTTTTAATCATTCTTTTTTTTCTTAAATTATTTCATCAAGAAAGATTAATGATTATTTTTAGTCATAACAATATCATTATTTTAGGATGCAAAAAATAATAATAATAGCTTTAGTTGCTAAATTGCTAAAAATTATCATATAAAATGAATTATTATTATTTATAAAAGATTTTCTAGAAATGGAAAAAATTTTAAAAAAAAATAAATTTTAAAAAATTGAAAATTATTTTAACTTTATTAAATTAAAAAGCTAACACAATAAAGTCGACGATATGGATTATCGGATTCATCCGATCTGAAATACATCCAAATGTTATCAAAAAAAAAAAAAAAGAATGAATCATTAACAACCGGAAAGAAATTAAATCAAAAATTTTTGCTCACTATTATTAGTTATTTCTGTTTGATGCTAATTACGAACCTTTTTTTTCGTCTTTTCATATTCTCGCTGATTGCATCCGATGAAGGTGATTCACGATCGGACTGCAAGTTTACATATATGTAAATGCTCAGTTTTAACTTTTTTTTGTTTTCAAAATTTTTTAAAGATAAGTAAAGATAAAGGTAAAAAAAAAAGAATGACAAATGGAGCAAAGTCATAAAATTAGAAGAATGGCAAATTGAAATTATTTCCACCAAATTATAACAAATAAAACATATCACAAAATTAGCTTTTCAATAAAATAAATCACAAAAATACCTTTTCTAGCCCTGTATAAATATCACTTTGCTGTGCCCAAACCTTTTTTGGTCGCCTTCTCTATAAAATGCTTTTTTACTAACTCAAATAAATGTAAATGCTAGAGATAAATTTTAAAAATTTTGATTGAAATTTGCAATAACAATGAATTTTAGTTCTCTCTCCTATCATAACCATTTTATTCACTCAATTTAAGAAATTTATCAGAAGGCATCAAAAAGTAATTGAATTTTCAACTGAAACATACATGACGCATTCTATATGGATCAACCATTTTTTAAAACTTCAAATCAAGTTTCCAGTCGAGCAACCGCTCACAACAGTGATAATTTTTGATAATAAATGATGATTATCGATTATTGTAACTGGAGTTTCTGCTCGAGCAACCGCTCACAACAGTAATAATTTTTAATAATAGATGATGTTTATCAATTATCACTTTTTTATCAATCCAGTTATTAAACACATTCTATCAAGCAAAGATAGTAGTGTCGCGAATTATAATTTCGCGAAAAACTTCTAACTGTCGTGAAAGACGAAATATTTAAATTATTATATCCAAAACTAACAAATTCCTCTTATCTAATTCCTAAATCTAATTTACATTTACAAAATTCATCTCACACCTGATGAATCAATTTCCGAATATTTTTGCATTTGTAATTCAGCTATGACTCATACTAATCTATTCCCTCCTTTCATACAATAAAACTAATCTTGTTAAATAGCGATAAGATGTGATAAAAATAATTAACACCTGCAAAACTGTTTAGGGAAATCATTACATTGTTAACAATCTTGTTTTTTCATCCATAGAAATTCTTCCATCTAATTTCCATTCATTAAATCAGTCTTATATATAAACTAACCAATATCAGTCCCTTCATGCTTAGACACATCCAATTCTCACTCATATAAATTCAATTCTAATAAACAAAACAATAAATTATCATCATTGTCGACTACGCTCGTTTAACCAAGATCAACTCATCCAATCTTCTTCTTTATTATAAAATTTCTTCTCTTCTTTTACTGCTCTGTTTATTAATACTAAGTTTGCGAAAAATAAAGACTTATTAATCTAATCCTTCTACTGTATTGCAAACGATTCCAATATCAACCAACAGACAACCTTTCACGACAAAATTTTTTGGTGCCACGAGCCGGGAACATGTCAAGCCACATCATCGCAAGCTTTCAACCGGCAAAGGAAAGGTTAGTCAGTCTTCTTAAAGAAGTAAATCAACTGGAGATCAAATCTCCAGATCCAAGTATGACAATAGAAGAAAAAGAAGATTTTTATGTGATAAGAAAAAGAGTGTTAGAAGATAAACTTCGAAGAATCCAATTATGCGTAACTACGCTTGAATCTATCAACGATAAATGGTTCACATATACTCAACAAATCGTCACGATGAAAAGAAGAGAAGAAGAGGAAGAAAAATACAAAACAGTAACAGAAGGTGACCAAGGAATATTTCAATTATTACACGAAGGAAAGGAAGCTGTAATAACACTGGCAATGCACAAGGATGAAGTCGACCAAAACTTAAAACAACTCTCAAAGGAGTTGACGAACAAACAAGCAAAAGAAGAAGCAAAATTTACTCCTTCTTCAAATATTAATGTAAATCTTCCTCATTTATCGCTCCCTACTTTCGATGGAGACCCTAGACAATGGCGACAATTTTGGAGCAGTTTTAACGCAGCAGTCCACACACAAGCGATTCCAGAAATACAAAAATTGAATTACTTGTACTCATGTCTTAAAGGAAAGGCTCTACAAGCAATATCTGGATATGATATAGCTCCAGAGAATTATGAAGTCATCAGAAAACTGCTCAATGAAAAATATGGCGATCACTCAATAGTAACAACATTACTCTACAACGAACTCCAATCAATTAAACGAAATGAAAGAGAATGGATTGGAACAATTGAAAATATAGAACGAGTACTGCGCCAGTTAGAAGCTCTAGGAGAAAGCCTTGAGCACTCAAATATTGAAATCTTGATCGAGAGCAAGTTGCCATTATGGATATTAAATAAAATATATAAACACAAGAAGAAGGACATGCCTTGGTCAATTCTCAAACTAAGAAACTTTTTAACAAGTTTAGTTAATGTGAATGAACAGATTAGAAACTGTCAATATTCACTCACTCAACTCAATATTAAATCTACAACTACCAAACCGGAACAAAGACAACGATACAATCCCGGAGGAACTTCAGCATTGTCGACAATAAAAGATAATCAAAATACTTCGAAAATTACAACAACGAAAAGACGACCATGTGTATTTTGCAATCAAGATCATTGGGACAGCGATTGCATGAACTACACAACTCTCAATGCTCGGCTTAGTCGTCTCAAAGTGTTGAAGAAATGTACTATTTGTCTTAGAGACAGTCACAAAGGACAGAATTGTAATGTCAAAAAACAATGTTTTTATTGCAAAAGCTCACATAATAGTGCTTTATGTAATAAAAGGAATTCACTTTCTTTAAACAATACAATGTCTCAAAGAAATGAAGAGCATGAAAGAATTGGACCTTCGAAACGAAAGGATTGTTCAACTTCTCTCTATAATTCCACATTAACAACTCAATCCAAACAGACAAAGGAAACCTTACTTTTATGTAAGGAGATAAAGGTTTTTAATCCATCACAACCTCAACTACAACAAAATACCCTTGCATTATTTGATATTGGATCGCAACTCTCCTTCATCTCCAAAAATTATCACGTCAATTAAAGTTAACCGAAACAGAAACTCAAATTATGAGAATAGCTCCATTTGGTATGAAAGAACCGAAATCATGTCCCACTGCTCGCATACAACTAAATGTGCTAACTACCGAAAGCGAAATCATACAACTACAAGCAAATATAATTGATTATCTAACAAACGAACTGCAGGTAGTGGAGACATCGAATGAATTTCAAATTCAAAATTTGACAAATTATTGGAAAAAACCTGACGTATTGATTGGAGCTGACTATTTTTTCAAATTTATTAACCTACGAGAAATTAGGGAATTGAAATCAGGACATATGTTGGTTCAATCAAAAGTTGGTCCAATGATTGCTGGAAGTGGAGATATTAAGAAACTTTGCAAGAACGAATTATATCCTAAAGAAGTAGTATATTCTACAAACGTCAATATTAGCACGGAGCTAGAAAAATTTTGGAAATTAGAGACGATTGGTATCCAAGAATCACCTCAAGATGATGATGATGATCAAGCTTTAAAGCATTTCAAACGGACCATCATCAAGCAGGGTGGAAGATATCAGGTTTGTTGGCCATGGAAAGACTCCAAACAAAAATTAAGCAATAATTATGGATTATGTCTGGGACGATTGAAGAATTTGATCAACCGCCTACAACATAATTCAAATCTCCATTCATATCATCAAATACTTATGGATCAACTACACTCAGGTATAATTGAAGAAGTACCTCCAAAGGATGAGGTAGGCGTTATTCATTACTTACCACATCATGAAGTATTAACTCCCAGTAAATCGACAACTAAATTAAGAATAGTATATGATGCTTCAGCACATCACAAAGGTTTTAAAAGCTTAAATGAAGTACTATATCGAGGTCCAGTAATGTTACCGGATTTAGTTGGAGTAATATTACGTTTTCGGATGATGAAAATAGTAATAACCGCTGATATCGAAAAGGCATTTTTACAACTAGAACTACAAAATGAGGAAAGAAATTGTACACGTTTTCTTTGGTTGGATGATATTGATAAAGAACTAACCAATGAAAATATAAAATGTTACCGATTTAAGAGAGTTCCTTTTGGAATAATATCCTCACCTTTCTTGTTAGCAGCAACATTAAATTACCACCTAGAAAATCATGGTAGTGAATTGGCATGGGAGATAAGAAAGAACTTATATGTAGACAACGTTATTATATCAGCAAATGGAACAGAAGAGGCCTTATATAAGTATGAAAGAACGAAAGAAATTTTTGCTGAAGCATCGATGAACATAAGAGAATTTCTTTTCAAATGACGAAGAATTTAATGAAAGAATAGCTGAATGCGACCTAAGCCAAACAAATCAGGAAAATTTTCTTGGTCTTAAATGGAACCATGGACGAGATATTATCCGTGTGACACTGAAACCATGGATAGGAAAAAGTTTAACAAAGAGGACTATCCTACAATTCATAGCCTCCCAATACGATCCATTGGGTCTTCTCGTTCCTATAATGATCAAACTTAAATTATTCATACAACACTTATGGAAAGAAAACATTCCATGGGATCAATCTTTAAACAAACAGGACGAACAACAGTGGATAAATCTCATCAAAGAATGGCCAACAAATATAATAGAGCTACCAAGATTTATAGTGGAAACTTCACAAGTAACAGAATTCCATATATTTACTGACGCTTCGAAAGTTGCCTATTCTGCAGCTATTTATATTCTCAATCATGGATATCAAAACACATATTCGAATTCATTTTTGATTTATGCTAAATCTCGAATTGCTCCAATTAAAGGTATGTCAATTCCTAGACTTGAATTATTATCTGTACTAATTGGAGTAAGAGCAGCTCAGTTCGTATTGAAACAATTAAATCTTGAAAATAATCAAGTTACTTTGTGGACGGATTCAAAATGTGTTCTTTACTGGATACAGAATTATACAAAGCTGCTTCCCAGATTTATACAAAATCGTATCGAAGAAATAAGGAAATCTAACTTCGAATTAAATTACATACCAAGTGATCAAAATCCAGCAGATATAGCCACCAAAGGAGTATCACCACTTAAACTCCAAAATTGTAAACAATGGTGGAAAGGACCTCGATGGTTGGAACTCAAGAAATCTGAATGGCCAAAGTGCAAACTTCGTTATTCAGGAAACGATGAATTTGCAGAAGCAATTGCTTTGAATTTAACAAAGATGACTCAAACCTTTAAAAGGAATATAATTGAATTTATTGACGTATATCGCTTCAGCAGTTGGACAAAACTAGTTCGAGTAACTGTTTGGACTTTTAGATTTATTAAACAAACCTGTAAAAAGAAATTAGTGTGGCTAGAACCATTATCCGTAAAAAGAAATATATGACTAAAGTTGATTACGATATAGCAGAGACTATGCTGATCAGACAGGCCCAATCACGATTGCTAACGGAGGACGAAAAGGAAAAATGGAATCTATATCTAGATGAAAGTGATAACTTATGGAAATTAAGGAGCCGACTGGAAAATTCAGAATTAACGGACGAAAGC